TCAATGGATTTTGGTTTGTTGCCATGCAAATAGCCATGAACATAGGTTTTTGCTTGTTTTCTTTTACTTGGGGATTTATTTATGTATAGAATTTTCCAATGTATCCGTTTTGGGATAGGAAATATTTATGATTGTGGTGCAAAAACAGAGAAAAGAAACAACATTTTGTAAAGCATTTAAGCGTGATCGTTTGCTTGAGTGACAAAATATTTAGATATGGGCATTAATAAGCCATTCTTGGCTGGAAACAGACTCAGCAAAAATGTGCTGTTCAAGGACCTAGTAGATATATTCCCCCCACTCTTTCAGGAACAATGTTCATTTTATATCATTATGAAGCTCTACCATTGGCTATCATCTTCCTTTTTATTGCAATGTCGTTGTTTAACAATCTGTCTTTTATTGTAAAGGATGAATTTACTAGCATTTGGCATTTTGAAGATTGAATACTAAATTTATTTGGTAGATACTGGAGATAACCAATCAGTTTGGTATTCTGCACTGTTGACGCATCACTAATGTTGTGATTAGAGTTGCAGTCAGCCTTCTTAATTAATTTGAATCTTCCTTAAATTCATAGTTGAATTGTCTTTACTGAAACAATTGGTGTTGCAGATGTTGCAGAGTTTCTTGTTATGGGTAAGGGCAGATCTTGGGCCATGGAGTCCACTTGTATTGTAAGTTATTGATTCTGCTATTCTAGGATGCATATTAAATCATTGCTTTCAGCTCTAAACTCTTTGTGTTTCTTTGTTAGCTTCAACTCCCTAAGAGTTAACATACTTTTCTTGGTACTTCAGGGCTATTGCATATACTCCTCTCACAGTCCTTGCAGCTCCTTCTTCAGTACTTACAGTAGGTTTTCAATTCTCACTTCTTTGAGATATTTACCTTTCTACCATCATATCTGTAGCAGCTTTTATTTATTTTTACGTTTTAAAAGTGGGAGTTATTGACATGTGTAAGGTTTTCCAAGCAAAAAGAAATTTGATTTATTGTTTCTCAACTTAGCTCTTATTGCAGAATACGAACACTATCTAGTATTTATTTTTCCCTTCGGTTTTGCAGGTTGGGGGTGGTTATCTTTTTGGATTGCATGTGGGATTTATTGCTGATTCTATTGGTGCTACAATGGGTGCAACAGCTGCATTTATCCTTGGTAGAACAGTGAGTATCTTGAATATTTGGTGCTTAATGGCAAGTTCATGCACTTTGCTCCTGATAAGCTAAACATCAGATTTTGATCAAGCATGAATAAATGGAATGAACTTCTTCAGTTTCTGAATGCATAGAAGATTTTGTTGCTGAGAATTTGCTAATCTTACAGATTGGAAGATCATATGTCCTCTCCAGGCTAAAGAACAACAGAAAGTTTCAGGCTGTGGCTCTTTCCATTGAGAGATCTGGTTTTAAGGCATGTGTCTTCTAAATTTTGCTCATTATTCCTTGATCTAATTTGATTTTAGATAGATAGTTTACCTATGCTTCTTCTTCATACTGCTATTTGTTTCTTAGTTGACCAAACTTTATGCATTAATTAGGTAATTAAGCTATCAAATGAATTGTGAAAGATCCAGTGACTTATAGTTTTAAATAAATGATGAAATGGAAAAGTGAAATACATAAAATATGGGAAAAGGGAAAATCAGGATGTCCTGGCATTAAAAGTGTCAAGATGTCTGATAATAACCACATGATGAATTTAATAAAATTAGGATCCACGCTATACCCTATACATTTAATGGATGTGATTGGATGTCTTGACATTTTTAATGCCAGGATGTCCTGATTTTCCCTTTTCTCTAAAAATATTTTCCTAGTTGAGTTGTTTAACTTATGCAGATGGTATTGTTGAAATTTCATATTGATTCTATTCGAGCACAACCCATTGGTATAATGGATCTTTTTCCTCTGGAATTGGTGATTTATTTTTCCTTTTTGGTTGCTTATGCAGATAGTTTTGCTGCTTCGGCTTGTTCCTTTATCGCCATTCAATGTGTTGAACTACTTGCTCTCTGTGACTCCTGTTAATGTTGGGGAGTACATGGCAGCAACTTGGTTGGGAATGATGGTATTTACTCATGATGATGACCTACTCTTTTTTAGTTTGCCATGGTTATGAATGCATAGATTGTTGTGTTGGTCATTTCATGCTCTTCCAATTTGAGTTAGTCCCTTGCTTTCGTGCTTACCTGTTTAAAAAGGATATTCCTATCAAGCACACTCTTTTAATGAGTTCATGGTCTGTCTCATCATTTCCTTCTTTATTTCAGGGCAGGGTGGGTGTAGATTAAGTAAAGTTTCTTGTTTTTAGAAGAATGATATAAGCTTCTATTTCATTCTCATTACAGCCTTCAACATTTGCAGTGGTATATGTCGGAACAACCCTAAAGGATTTCTCTGGTGTCACACATGGATGGAATGAGTTTTCAACAACTCATTGGGTTAGTGGCTTGCTCCAACGTTGTTTAAAAACTGTTGTCTTTTGAAATTACCATAAAAGTAGAGTTCCAGTTCCTGATTATTCCTAGTATGATGACTGCTGTTTGTGGTTGCAGGTTTGCATGGCTCTAGGTTTTGTAGTATCTGGTGAGTTTCTGTCACCCATTGCTTTGTTACTACATGTATTGAAGATTAAGCCATTTTATTATCAATGGTTTAATTAACAGCAACAGGATGATCACATTCAATTCAACCTATGTAACAAAATCAATAATCATACTTTGGGTTCTTTGAAAATTTATTCTTATTTTTCTCTCGTGTTGTGCAGTTCTTTTGATAGTTTGCATTGCTAAAGTTGCTAAGGCTTCTTTGGACAAAGCACTGGCTGACAATGCCAAAATGGAGGCCAAATTGACTCCATCAATGCTCCCAATTGTTGCAGATTCTTCCTCGGCTACACGGACGCCCCTTATAATTACAATAGACTCGTCGAGGCTGCACGGTTAAAGACCAAGACTTATTTGATGTAGGTACTCCTCTCTCTAGTTTTACCTAAACAATAATTTAGATGATAAAAGAATACGAAGAGCATAGAAAAGGTGGAAGCTCTTTTCTGTTTTTCTCCTCATTTTTTACGATTGGTGCGCAAGAATCCACTAAAATAGCACCCCACATTTTGAACCTAGAGATGGAATTATGAGGCAGCTGTGGCCTATATATGTTACTCAAGTCACTAATAGCACTACTTTTGTTGTAAACGTAAAGCTAAAACGTTGTTTAATGAGCTGAAAAAAATGAACATGATGCCAATGTCAGCTGTTGAATTGTGTAGACTCACTTGTCACATGAGTACCAAAACTGGTTCAATTCATTTTTGTTATAAACAATTGTTTCTCCAGTCAATTCTTTGAAGATTGTACCATGGATAGTCTGCATTTATCCAACCATAAGTTCTCTGACCTGCAACAAGATCCAAAGTGTCGACAGCTAGTTAAAGAACGGACTGGGTTTAATTTTTTGAGATCATGGTTGCTATTGAAGATTATAATATAATCCTAGATTTAGCTGTGCATTGACAGCCTAAATTTCTTCTTTACTCAAAACTAACTTTAATAACTTTAAGGCAAAAGGTGCAAATTTCCTCCAAAAAAAAAAAAAATGTTGTGTTGAAATAAATTCTCATCTAAAAAATGTTAATGTAATTTGTCATCTTAAATTTTTTTTTTTTAAGAAATTAGCTCAAGTTTAATTATTATTGCTAACTATTTTTAGATTTCAAGAGCAATTGTTTAATAGACTTCAATGGAAATTGTTAAATTTGAATTAATTCTTTGAAAATGGAAATTTGAAGTGAAAATTTGTGTCAACATTTTTTTAGGTGGAAACTTGTTTCAATGCGACAAATTTAAAAGGCAGTTTGTACATATGTTCTAACTTTAATTGTTTAAGTAGAATTAATGAATTGGTTGATGGCAGGCGAAAACTTAAATGGTTTGATAATAATCTTTTTTTACTAGAATCTCTTTCTATATATTAAAAATAAAAAATTTTAAATTTAAATTGTATAATTTGTAAGTGAAATAAATTATAGAATAAAAAAAAGTACCTTTTAAAATGAAATTAAAAATTAAAAATAAATTAATTAATTAATTAATGGCAAACCATGTGAGTAAAGGCAAATCATAATCATTTTGAAAATCCAAATCTATTATTAAAATGCAAAAGAAGACACTACATATGGATTAGGATTACTACTTGGATTTGAGATTTGCTGTTTCATGAGAACAAAACCAGGTCCAGGATTGAAACTACTTTTATGAATAGATTTTAAAATTGGCTTATGGGAAATGCAGTCCAGTCAAGACCACAGGATCCAGCGATTCAGCCATGGCACTGCATTTATATTTAGTTAAGAACCCCTAGATTAGTGGCACCGCGTCCACTAAATTATTGTTTATTAGAAGTTGACAAACTGTGGCAAATGATCGTGTTAAAGTAGATAACAGCTAGCAACTATAATTTGTAGGAATAGCTTCAAGATTACCTCTCAACTAAGTTGCATTTGTACAATTAAGCCCCCTATTAATTTTTTTGTCTCACCAGCAAAAAATTTAACAAAGTTAGTACCCAGTAATTAAAATTTATTAATTTAAGATCAAGATTAAATATTTATATTTATGTAATATCAAACTACTAATTTCAAATGTAAAAAAATAAAAATAAAAATCTTTTATCTCTAAATCCATCTTAAAGTAGTATGCATCCATATTAGACAATCGAGAGAGTCTATTCCACATCACATTAATGAAAGAAAAACTATAATGTGTGGTCACTTAAGTTGTTCTGTTAATTTTTGCTAAAATATAATGATTTTGATCTATGGGAGATTATTTTGTATTAAATTAAATTAACTTAAAGGGCTTATTTGAGGCAAACTCTTTTGTCTTTCGCACCTCATCTCTCTATATAACTCCACTCTCACCCCACAGTTCCAGTCACCAGATTCTTCCTTATCCAAACTCTTTCAACCAAATAATAATTAATCCAAAACCATGCGCATTCTCTTTTCCTTCCTCTTTTTCTTCCTCCTCTTTACATTAATCTTCATTCCTTCTCCATCTCTTGCAATCGGATATGCGGTACCAGTATCTAAAGACAGCACCACCCAGCTCTACTTCATTACGGTTTCCATGAAAACCCCTCTCCAACGCACCTACCTCCACCTCGACTTAGGCGGCCGCTTCACTTGGTTAGACTGCCAAAAAAACTACACTTCCAACTCTTACAAACACCTCCCTTGCAACTCCCCTGTTTGCCTTGCATTCGGTCACAACTACGCCTGCTCCAATTGCTTCAAACCTCCAGGCCCCACTTGCGCCAACAACACCTGTGGAACTTTCCCAGAGAACTTTGTCATTAGAAAATCCTACATCTCAATCGCCATCGTCGACACCCTCCAGTTATCAACGTCAGACGGATCAACCCTCGGCAAACCCCGCACCATCAACAATTTCGTCTTCTCCTGTGCTCCGAGTTTCCTCCGTAAAGGCCTAGCTAAGAAGACTCTCGGAGTGGTAGCGCTGGGAACGGACAACTTTTCCCTCCCACTTCAGGTGAGTCGAGCTTTCCATGCTCCGAAATATTTTGCGTTGTGTCTTCCCTCATCTACGTCGTCCCCCGGCGTGGCATTCTTGGGGTCAAGTGGGCCGTACCGGCTTTTACCTCAAGAGACCGATCTCTCCAAATTGCTCCTCTACACTCCGCTCCTTCCGAACCCGATTTCGGATTCTCTAGTCTACTCTGTATTACCTTCTCCAGAATATTTCATCGGGTTGACTTCTCTTAAAGTCAATGACAAACCTGTACCAATCAACGTGACATTGCTGACCATTAATCAAGACGGTATTGGTGGGACGAAGCTCAGCACCAACACTCCTTACACACTTCTGGAGTCTTCGATCTACAAGGCGTTAACGGATGCATTTGTGAAGGAATTCCGTGCTCCCAACCTAACCGTAACAAAGGCGGTGAAGACATTTGGATTTTGCTACTCTGCCAATCAAATCCCGGTAACGCGGGTGGGACCGGCGGTGCCGACTATTGATCTTGTGATGCAGAGCGAGAGCGTGTTTTGGAGGATCTTTGGAGCCAATTCAATGGTGTGGTACTCGAAAGGGGAGGTGAACGCGTGGTGTTTGGGATTCTTGGATGGTGGGGTGGGGATGAGAGCATCGGTGGTGATTGGAGGCCATCAAATGGAGGATAATTTGTTGCAATTCGATCTTGTATCAAAGAGGTTGGGACTCAGCTCTTCCCTCCTGTTCGGGAGCACCACGTGCTCTAATTTCAACTTTACTACAACAAAATAATTAAGGAAATGCTAAACACATACCTTGATTGGTCTAAGTGGGTTTTTTTCATTTTTAACAAATTAAAAAAAAAATTGAGGTCGGACAAATTACAAGTCAAGTGTTATGTGCACTCGCTGCTTAATTTGTTGTTTTCAATCTTCGACACTTCTGCCATCCAGTATCCATTCGTCTTCGTATATGGAATGCGGTGCCAAGGCTATAATAAGAGAAAAATAAAAAGGCAAATTCACAAGTATGAATCTTCAACCAAATATGATCTTCGTTGTTCCACACGTCTAGAAGTCGCTGGCCACATGAAACAGATCGAACTAGGCAGAACTACAAAGACAACATATATAGTTGGTATAAGCCTTACCCACTAATAATGCAACCTGCAGGTTTCGCCAATGCCACTTGCCTTAACTGGACTTCATAGTGAGCCTGCAAGAATGAAACCATAAATACAAAATATTGGCTCAAATACATACTTTCTACATCAATATTATTATTATTATTATTATTTTTCGTTTCTACGTCAATGTTATTAACCTAGAAAAAGTTTGTCACAAAAAAAATTTATTAGTATTAGCTAAAAAACATTAATGTAAGTATTATTAACATAAATAGGATTAAAAGTCTATCACAAACAAATGCAATGTGGTTAATGTTCTAGAAAAGTAATCAAAATTGTACAAAGCAATTGTGTGGGTTAAGGTGAATAGTTCATTGTTGTTTGTATAAGCAATTGTATTGATGCAAATAACTATTGTTGATGCCATAGGTTATCTTATTTTGTAAACATATCTAACTTATATTTTTTTTAAGCTTTTCATTTATTCTTCTTCTTTTCTTTGTTAGTACTAACCTCTCAGTATTTAGTAACTACATTGGATCATAATTAATCCGAAATCAAACTGGATCAAATCCATTACGGGGGGAAGCTCTTCTAACATATATTTCTCTATTCACAAGACTCAAATTCGAGATATTGCTTAAAGAGAACTAAGCTCCTTCCATTTAAATTAACAGGTCCTTAGTCTTCCTCCTTTTTCTTTCACAAAAACCAAACGGGGGACTATCGCCAATCTCCCATTCCAACAAGGCAACAACATCCATTGAAATCCAATCCCCACAAAGGAGATAATAGGTTTGATACACTTATACATTCAAATTGTTCTAAGTTCAATGATGATGATGTGGGTGATGAGTATTATGTTGATCCCATGTTAATAAAAATGCCGAGCTTATTTTTGAATTTGTTACATTGTTTTTACTGTATTTTACATGATTCTAAATGTAGTAGTGCTTAAATATTAATTAAACCTAGTGGCAGCAACAAACCTTGCAAATTTTGGAAACCAAAGTACTTAAATATTAATTAAACTTATTATTTTATCTATACTTATGTTAATTTGAATTGATTAAAACAAATTGAAAATTACATCTTATACTAGGTGTTTGTACAAAAATTAATATGCAAATAAAGTTTAGTTTTTTTTTTTTTTTTAATGGAACATGTTATGTTGGTAAAAAAATTACTATACCGATAAGTATTTTTATAGATTTTTTATGAGGGGTTTTCGTAAATTAATTTGTGGAAGCAAGTCTTGCATTTTTCCTAAGGATGAGGTGTCCTCTTGATAACAATAGGATATGCTTGAGGATGATCAATGGTTAAAACAAAGAAATTTCAGATGCACATGCTTGAATATGGTACGAAATGAATACCTACGGAGAGATAGTACAATAAAAGCATCCAAGAGAAAAAGCAAGAACATGATACTAATCATTTTTTAAAGTTGAAATTATCACATGTGGTGCCCTTCAGCACGACAGAGGAACTAAACCCCAACCTTTTCGACTCCAAATCAAACTGCAGTAAATTATCCTCTATCTGGTGCCCTCCAATCACGATCGCCGTTCTAGGATTCACCCCACCATCCACAAACCCCAAGCACCAGACATCCACTCCATCTTTCGTAATCCTCGTCATGGAATTTGCCCCGAAGATCCTCCAGAAGACATCGTCGCTTTGCATGACAAGATCCACCGTCGGCACTGCCGGTCCCACACGAGTGTTAAGTACATCCGCTGCCGGATAGCACACGGTGAAAGGATCCACCGCATTCGTCACGGTGAGGTTCAAACCGGCCGATTCGTTCAAAAATGCATCGGTGAAAGCCTTGTAAATAGATGACTGCAAGATGGAATGAGGAGTGGAGGTACTGAGCTTGGTCCCGCCAAACCCATCTTCATCATTAATCGCCAACAATGAGCCGTTGATCGGAATGGGTTTTCCGTTGACCTTGATCGAAGTCAGTCCGATGAAATACTCATCGGATGGTTTCCCGTTGTATGTTATTATGGTGCCGCCGACAGGATTCAAAAGGAGCGGAGTATATGTAAGTGATTTCGAAAGATCAATATTTTGAGGAGAAAAGTAGTAGGGCCCACTTGACCCAAAGAATGCCACGCCAGAATCCGACGTGGACGGCGACAGACACAGCGCAAAATAGTTAGGAGTAGAGAAGCCTCTGCTAACCTGAGCCGGAAGCGAATAATTCGACCTGCCGAGCGCCGCCACTCCTTTCGATTTCTTAGGGAGACCTTTCCGGAGAGATGCCGGAGCACAAGAGAAGATGTACTCGGGAATGAATCCGAGTGGCCCCTGAGTTGATCCGTCCGATGTCGGCAACGCGAGCGAGTCGATAATTGCGATTGAAATGGCGGCCTTTTGAGTGACGGAATTCTCGGGGAAGAGGCCGCAGGTGTTGTTGGCGCAGGTGGGGCTTGGGGGTTGGTAGCAGTTGGAGCAGGCGAGGTTGAAACCGACGGAGGTACAGAGAGCGGTACCGCAGGGGATGTGTTGGTAAGTGGAGGAAGTGTAATTGTTGTCACAGTCTAGCCAAGTGAAAGAGGCGCCGAGGTCAAGGTGAAGTTGGGTGCTCTGAGGAGGGGTTTTGAGGTACAGACGGAGGGAGTAGAGGAATGTGGTGGCGTCCTTTGAGACGGGTACTGCAAAACCCGAAGCAAGAGTTGGAGAAGACATGAAGAATGAGGAGACGAAGAAAAAGAAGAGGAAACGGAAGGGCATGATTCAGGGTGAGTTATTCAGATGAAGAGTTTGGATTGACCTAAGAAGGAAAGTGATTAGAGGCGAGTTATGGGCGGGGGCTGCGTTGTGAATAAAGTGGATGCCAGCTTCGAGCACAAATACCCAGATATATGAGGAGTAATTAATTATTGTTTGCGGGTTGTTGTTGCACCTGTTTTGGCGGCAAAACCATAAGTTAA